TTCCAAATTTGCGCCATGTTTGTTTTAAATACGCGGAAACAAGTGCGCCCAAGTGGCAAGAGCTTTTTACGCTCACTTTTGAATACATTGTACCCTTCTGTGCATCTAAATGGGGCCGGATTCTTTAAAGCGTTACAGCTGCAACACTTTTCCGTTCATTCGGAGAGAGAGCGGAAGAATGTTCATCGAAATTCTCAACTAACAAAAGTATAGAGCCAGATAACTCTAGCCTTATAAGTAGTATATCGACGTTAGGATTTCTAGGCACCAAACGCCACTCTTCTCAGCGTCCTTCCACCATTCTGGACCCTTCGTAATCAGCCATCTTTACCGATTCTTTACCATGTAGCCGAAGTTCATGGAACTTGCTTTTGATGCGTAATCCAGAGACCTCAAACAGAAGTCAACCTAAAATATTGCTTTCTAGAACCAGCTCGAAAGAAAATAAAAGAAGTTCCTGTTATAATTCCCACCATAACAAAACGCACGGTCAATTTTTAAGACCAACTCCTCACTGGAAGACGACGGCGTTTCACGGGTTTTCCTGATCTCCGGGAAGAAAGATCGATTTTTTGCTAGTTTGCGCATACGTCCTCACTTCATTTTGAAACGTTGTATTCATAGTAAATTCAATCACTAAATAGAAAATAAACGAAGGCTGACAGGAACATTCACATCAGTGTGGGTAACTTTCACACCATTTTCTTGCTTCGTGAAAATTCGTCTCTACAGAGAGAACGCAGGGCATTTGAATAGATTCTAAAAACACTTTACTCGTCTGTTTAATCTTATCGTAATCAATTTGTGAGGTGGTTTTGATAGGGGAATTGTCAGCACACACATCCATCACACCCCACTGTTGTCAGTTATAATCGATTATCACGTGAACATGCTGTTTCCCAGCCTAGTGGACGTGAAAACTATTCAGTGTCCTTTCTCGCTGTTTCACTGGATGCCATGAGTTTTGCTCACACAAGAAAGTTTGTTTTATGTGAACCAGACTAGAAAGAGCCACCAAGGCACTCATTTTTGCCATCACTTTGTGTGCCTGTGAAGCTTTGTGGCCACCACATTTGAGTGAGTAGCTTGGCGCAGAGTAGCAAAGGTCGGCAGTCAAACGTACTCTTTCCGGAGGGCCATCCACCTGCTTCCGCTTGACAGTCTTCCATTTATGTGTCAGTTAGATCTTCAACCTAGTAATATTTTGTGTGTGAATTTCTCAATCATCTGAGACTGCTTTTAATTACCGATGGATGTTCGATTAACTGCTACCCTCCATTTCGTTGCCCTGCAACTTCGTATACTGTTGATCCTGTAACGCTTCCGACTGGCATAAGCTGACCATACCGCCCACAGTATTTCCTCACTTCGGTGACATTTATCCACCTCACTGTTAGTCATCATGCATTTACCTTAGAACCATTCCCAGCTTATCATTGACCCAACCATTCGACATGAGAATTTGCTTCACCTAGGCATTATCAGCACACAGAGCCGCGAGAATTCAGGAGGCGTGAACCGCATCGGATTCTACCTAACCTTTTAGACGGCGCTCCTTTCATATCAGTTAATCTCTGTTTGTGAAGGCGAACATCCATCTTTTGACCACCCTTTTTCATCTTTTCACCCTAAACATACCTTAAATTCGCTTTATTTGCCGAAGAGACTTTGTGACGTTATGTGGTCATATGCCACCACTGTGGACAGGCCAGCCCGGTACCAAAAGTTACCACCGCATCTCAAACAGGACCACCTACCAGTGAAAGAAAGAAGGCCTTCGTCGCGGAGTCATTTATTAGAAAATGCCAAGTGCACAGTTACAGACTATTGGACAGGGAAGCAAAACTCTCATATGTATCTTGTTTACAAAAACTGAATATCCATCTTCTCTTCCCTGGATATTCACTGACTGTTGCTCAATTCTAAGCAGATGCCACAAAGAGACTCCACAAATTCCGCAATAAATCTCACTTTTCAGGAGATGCAATGAGAATTTAGGAGAAAGCATACTACTCGCATGCCTCCTCCGTCAGGAGTATCACCGTTACACCAGTATTTCGGTTACATGTAAATAAAAACCAATCAAAGGAGCAGCCGAACGCTCGTCGGCTCAGGCTGTCTTACATGGAACCGAGGCTGTTCTTGATTGCTGTTCAAAACCACCCTAACGGATTGCAACCTGAACATCTGTTGTGCATACTAGTAAGAGTAACTTCGTTCGATACGCACTCACGTGTACGATATGACGATTAGGCATTGTCACTGGGTGCTTCAGATATCTCAGTTCTTATTTCACCTAAAGATGCAATACGTT